TGGTAGTAGGTGGTGGTAGGTGTAGTAGGTGAAGGTAGGTGAAGGTAAATTTTAACAGCCCCCCGCAAACTCAAGGAGGATAGGAACTAACCAACTTGAGTTTGGAGAGAGTAACAAAACAAGAAAATACATAAAAATAAAAGAGAATAGGAGACACTGTATGGTCGTGTCAGACCGTTGGTGAAGGCACTGTATGGTGGTGTCATAACGTTGTAGAGGACACTGTATGGTGGTGTCATAACGTTGTAGAGGACACTGTATGCTAACCGGAATTAATGTCGGGACAGTTTATGGGGTCTTGTCGGACCGTTGGAGATACTAACCGGAATCAATGTCGGGACAGTTTATGGGGTCATGTCGAACAGTTGGAGATGCTAACCGGAATCAATGTCGGGACAGTTTATGGGGTCATGTCGGACCGTTGGAGATGCTAACCGGAATCAAATGTCGGGACAGTTTATGGGGTCATGTCGGACCGTTGTAAAAGTTGCACCCTCAAAAGGTGTGCCCAATTTTGTCAAAAGGCGTGCCCAATCCATAAAAGGCGTGCCATCAAAAGGCGTGCCATCAAAAGACGTGCCATCAAAAGGCCCGCCCATGTTGTCGTCGAGCGCCGAGCGGCGCATGATGCGCGTGTCTGCCTCTTCGTCAGGGTCTTTATAAACTGAGGCAGAGGCTGTGCTTGGAAGCATAACAAACGAGTTGAAACCTCTTCGTTCTCTGAGAGAGAAACTCTGTAACACTCTGTTGCCCAGAAAATGGCCTCGTCTTCCCGTGGGCTGCTCACTCTCTTTCCCGACCTCAACGAGTCAACAAGAGAGAAAACTGGTGCAGTGAATCGCAACCAAAACACCCTTTTGGTTTTGCTCACTAAACTTTCCGATGCGGTCTGTGGAGCAAAAGAATGGCGATGCAGTCGATTGAGGCCAATCAGTATACATTAAGTCATGTGTGGAAACCATGACTGCGGTACAAACTTGTCGAACCGGCTGCAGAGTAGGGCAAATGAGGTGCAGCAGTTAAACGCCCAGTTGGCTCTGCTCCAACGCATGTATAAGGATGCGCGAGCAGAGATAAGTGTGCTAAAGGCGGAAAATAAGGAGCTGAAGCGGAAGGCCACCGTGATGTTTCGATTTGGAGGTCCGCCATATGCTGTAGTGGAGGAGCAGGGAGGAGGCAACTTGCTTGGTGGTCTAGGAAGCACGGAGGCAACACCATCAAGGGCCGCTCAGGACGGAGGCAAGAAGAAGAGACCGGCTGCAGAGTAGAGAAGAAAAATCCCACCTGTGGACGTGGTTGTGTGTTTGTATTTTGTATTTTGTATTTTGTATTTTTTTTTGGTTGTAGAAATGTGCTCGGGGTTGATCCCCGAGATGAATAAAATGACAAGGTTGTGGAATGGTGGTGGTGTTATTTTGTGTTGTTGTTGTGTGTAATAATAAAAAGAAAAGAAAATAAAACAATGGATAAAGAAAATAGATAAAAATATTTGTGGATGGGTGATATGAAAAACATCAGTGAGATGTTGTTGTTTTGCTTCTTTTTTTTTTTTTTTTTTTCAATGTGTCTTCTTTTTTTTTTTTTTTTCGGTGGAAGAAAAAAAAAATAATAAGAAGATAATGGAAAACGGGGGATGCTCACGAACAATGGTAGGGATATGGGAAATATAGTATAATAAAATATATATAGATATATATATATATTAAAAATAAAAGAAAAGTGGGAAAGAAGGTGGGGGAATATTAAAATAAAAGAAAAGTGAGAAGTGGGATTTCAAATGGGCAAAAGGAAGAGAGAGAGAGAGAGATTGAGTGGGTGCATGATGATGATGTTGGGTCCATGGAGAGAGAGAGAGATGTTGCCCTCCTTGATGTTGGGTCCAAGTTTGATCTTTGATTAGGCTAGAAGCAAGAAAACAGCATATTTTGGGGCCTGGGCTGCAATTTTCTCCAAAGACACAAACATTATAGTAGCCTGTTCAACAACAAAACCACACTCAAGACTGCCCAGCAGTGCACAGATGAACAGAAGCTGCAACCAAATAACAACAGCAGAAGCTGCAACCAAATAACAACACCATACCAAATGAGCACTCTAACAAATAAACATCCTCAATACCGCTGTCCACAGCACTCTAGCAGATGAGCAGCATAAACTTCCCCCTGCTGTCGAAACCAGATTAGCATCAGTGGTAGTAGGTGGTGGTAGGTGTAGTAGGTGTGGTAGTAGGTGGTGGTAGGTGTAGTAGGTGAAGGTAGGTGAAGGTAAATTTTAACAGTGTTGGTTAGCTCCAAATTTGAGTGGATTGTATAACAAATCCATAACTCATGTGACTTATTAGGACTTATTGGTAGTTTACCCTATAATTGTAAGTGTCAGTATGTTATAATTTTTTTTTATTAGGCTTTGGTAGATTTAGGAAATAATAGAAAAGATTGTGCTGATGATTTGTTTCTTGGATCTTGCTTGTCTAGGATTTGCATTTTTTATCCATGACTTATTGTCCAAAAATTTGGGGTATAATAAGGTGATGAGTGTGAATATTGTTTGCTAATTATTCTTTGATGTGCATGTTAGTTATTTAAGAGAAATCTCAAAGTTGAAAAATTAGTTGATATTTATTATCCCATACTAGTAGGAAACAACACTTGGGAAACATTTTACTTCGTAGAAACATTAATGCAGAATGCTAGTGTGTATTCTAATCAGTTTGTGAATCTATCTCAGATTAGGTAAAAAACTTTCACTCTGAAAATTTCAAGTGAAATGATGGAAAGTTCATTTACCTTGTTTGTCTTTGATTGATTTTCTGAAAATTGAGTTTTTTTTTTTTTTTTTTTTTAATATTTGTTATGAATTTCAAAAAAAAGTTTTGAGAAGAATTTTGAAAATAATTTTTGAATTTTAAAAAAAGTTTTGAGTTATATTTTGAGTTTTGAGTTTTTAAATTTTGAGTTGTATTTTGAAATTTTTTGGATTTATTTTTTAAAAATGCTGTTGTGCCCATGATTCGCTCTGATTCATATATCTCATGGTTATTTTCCTCCTATAAAGCAACATCCAAGCCCTTCGTTAGGTCCCAACAGTGTACCAAAAACTAGTCAGCAAAATAAAAAATGAACTAACACAACACAACACAAAACATCACTTTTAGGGAATCGAACTATCAATAACTAGTGTCACATGGCAAATACAAAAAAGGAAGGAATAACCAAACTGAAGAGAGAAGATAAAATTGTTACCTTGTAAAATTCTGGTCTCCAAAGAAGTGGATTCATGAAAAAATTCCATTCCACATACTCAAGCAATAATTCGTTGTCCCAACGTTGAGGGAAAACCTGTTAAAACGTGCAATGCATTATGCCTAAAACATAAATTCAACTACAACGTCATCTATTTTATCAACTTAAGAATCATCAAAAAACATAAACAAGGAACAACATTCACTTACTTCAAAACTTATTTGTCCCCCAATGGAAAAGGTGAGGTGAGCAAATTCTCTTCGAGCACAGACACCATCTTAGGGCGTATGTTCAGAAACCTGAATATTAATTTCAGTAGAGTAAAATTTTCCAGAATGCCCAAACCAACCAAACTTGATCCCCCCTTTTAATTTACTTCCC